CCCCAAAAAAAATTAATGCCCCCATGGGACCCATTCCACTGGCCCAATGGTAACTATTAGATCTGTTTTTCCTTTGAATAAAATGTTTTTTATTTTAACTAGTTCACAGTGAATCTCACCACCACGTACATCCACAAGAAATTAACTTTAAAAAATAACTGTGGGTAAATGGCAGAAAGATCAATAGAGAGCAGGGAGATGGGGTGGGGAGAGGGAAGGGGAAGGAGAGGTCCTGGGGTCTGAATTAGAACAAGATATAGTCCATGCTTTTATAATTATGTCAAAATGGATTCTACTGTCATGTATAACTAAAAAACCAATAAAAAAGACAGCATGAAAAAATACATACTATCTCACTGAGAATATTTTATATTGATTATATGTTGAAATAATAATATGCTGGATATATTGGTTATATAAAAATACATTAGGGCTGGGGTTGTGGCTCAGTGTCAGAGTACTCGCCTCACACATGTGAGGCACTGGGTTGGATCCTCAGCACTGCATTAGAAAAACAGACAAATAAACGGTATCATGTCCATCTACAATTAAAAAAATACATTAATTTTAAAAAAGATAAGAGTATTGCACAATGAATGTTGTATTTCTGTCACTCTTCTCTATTGTTCTATTTTCCAGTTGATTTTTCTCTAAGCTTTTGTTGGGAAGGCTGTCAAGAGCCATCAACATGTATTGTTTCACGTTTTTGATCATCTATGTTGTTGATGATGATAAATATAGAAATATGGAGATAGTGTATAGGGACCATAACAAAACCATATTTCTTCTCCTTCAAATTTATCATGCAGGAGCCAGTGAGCTCACTCCTTCAAACAAAGTTTCAAAAAACTTTGTTGGGGGGGTAGAAAATAAAATAGTGTGGCAAATGAAGATACAGGAGTAAATGCTGTCTGCAAACTTAGAATAAATAATCTTATGTTCTAGGGTGGTGAATATGTAATTCATTTGTGCAACCAAATAATTACTAAAGGATTTTTCAAAGTATCTGACATACTGCTGTTATGTTAGAAGCTTACCCTCTAACTGGGGAGCCAGGCCATACTAGCTGAAAAGTTAAATAATGATACAAAATAACATCAATTTCTTTGTGTGTGTGTCGGGGGAAGGGGTAACCAGGGATTGAACTCAGGAGACTCAACCCCTGAGCCCCATCCCCAGCCCTAGTTTGTATTTTTATTTAGAGACAGGGTCTCACTGAGTTGCTTAGGGCCTCACTTTTTGGTGAGGCTGGCTTTGAATTCACGATAGTCCTGCCTCAGCCCCCACCCCCCCACCCCCGAGCCACCGGGATTACAGGCATGTGCCACCATGCCTGGCATCAAATACCTATTAAATACCTCTCAATGCATCTATGCAACAGATCTATAAGGAAGAACTACAATAATTACACAGGTAAGGAAACTGGAGACTGAGTACATTGTTTAGTGCCATGTGGCTAAGTGGTAGGGCTGGGACGTAACATAGTTATATCTGAAGGCAAAACTTTTGCTCTCAAATGTAATTCAGTACTGCTTTCCAACCCGACTAATTCCCATTCTCTCATCCTCTGGATTGGCCTGGTTTCACTCCTCTAGTAGGGACTGTATTAGTCATCTATTGCTGTATAACAAACCACAAGTTCAGTAGGTTAAAACAACCCTCATTTATGAGTTTATAGTTCTATAGTTCAGAAGTCCAATACCCTGTGGCTGGCTTCTCTGCTCAGGGTGTCACAGGACTGAAATCAAAGTGGCTGCTGGACTGAATTTTCATCTGAAGATTCTGTGTAAAAATTCCCTTCCAAGCTCATTCTTGTTGGCAGAATTCAATTCATTGTGGTGGCACATTTGAGATCCCTGTTTCTTTGCTGGCAGTCATCCAGGGACCACTCTTGGATCTTAGAGTCCCCTGTATTCCCTGTCATGTGCCCCTTTTCTTCTTCAAGCCAGAAATACCACAGCAAATCCTTCTTGGGCTTCAAATTTCTGACTTCCTACATCTCAGACTTTAGACCCAGATGTAAAGAGTTTGTGTGATTAGGTCAGGCCCACCCAGATAATCTCTCTTTTAAAGTCAATTTGGGACTTTAGTTACTTCTGCAAAAATCCCTTTTGCCCTATAACAAAATCAGGAGAGTGATATTTCCTCATAGTCCCAGGTTCCATTCAAACTCATGGGGGAAAGATGATATAAAGTCATAATATCACAAGGACTCTTAGAAACTAGGGAGGAATGTGGCAGTTGGAAAATTGGAAAGGGTATTTCCTTAAAACTGTAAAGGACACAAAGTATTAAAACAACTTGAAAAAAGCACAAAAGACAATGAAACCATACAAGAAAACAAAGATGGGCAGGTTTTTTTTTTTAATTTTTAACCAACAGAAATGTAAAATAAGTTATTTCAGATAGGAAAATCTTCTTTTGATGGCTCGAGTCACTGCTCGGTTTACTGGTGAACACTGAGTCACTGCTGATGAGGTTGGTGCTCTGCCATCTTCCCTAGGCACTGGCAGTTGCAATAAATAGGCAGCTGCCTCCTGCTAGCACCTGTCATTCTCTGCCTGGGGGTTTTCCTTTAGCCCTCTCCTGGGGCAAGTCTGAAATACTAGGGAGTTGAACCCTGAGAGCATCCCTTAGCCAATGATGGGGGAAATTTGTTGGATGATTACCCAAGTTTCCTAATCCCTTGGGTAAAAACCAAAAAACAACAAACAAACCCCAAACCAGAAAACCTTTTGGACAAAACCTATTGTCTCCCAGAGTTCCCTGATGTATTTCAGCCCACTGATATGTGCTAGTGGTAACTGACACGATAAAACACCCTTTATTGGTTTCTCCTGAGGCTTTAATTCTACTGTCTTTATTGTGACTACCTTCCAGATAAAGTACTTACATTTAAATTCTTGTCTTAGGTTTTTAGGCACTTAACACAATAGTGACTGTATCCTTGCATTTGATTTGATGGAGAAGGGCATTAACCTTTTATAGACAAATAGACTTATATCCCAGTCAATGTGAGATTTTAATTTTGTTTTCTATAAAAAGAGGACAATAAGGGGCTGAGGCTGTAACTCAGTGGTAGAGTACTTGCCGAGCATGTGTGAGGCCCCGGATTTGATCCCCAGTACCACGAAAAAACACAATAATGTTATGTCATCGAATCAAATGAGGTAATGATTATGATAAACTACCTGGCTCATAGAAAGCACTTAATAAGACCTAATTTTTTTCTTCTTTTTCTGAAATCATTGGTCTCTTCCTTCCTAGTACTTCTTCAATTTTTCCAGGAGTCAGCTCTCATGGTTTAATCAACTCGCCCTGTCTGGGTGTGGCTCACTGAGACATAGTGGAGGAAGCACAATTTTCCATGCAGTTATATTTTTCTATAAAATCAGAACATTTTATTAACGATAAGTAAGCCAAATATCCAACACCACTAATTTAAATCAAATAGATCCAGATATTTAAAATATCTAAGATATTTTGGTGCTTTACTCTCCCATTATCTATCTATCTCTATCTCTCTCTCTCTCTCTCTCTCTCTCTCTCTCTCTCTCCCTCTTTTTGGTACCAGGGATTGAACTCAGGGGCACTCAATCACTGAGCCACATCCCCAGCCCTGTTTTGTATTTTATTTAGAGACAGGGTCTCACTGAGTTGCTAAGTGCCTCGCTTTTGCTGAGGCTGGCCTTGAACTTTCGATCCTCCTACCTCAACCTCCCAGAGTCATTGGGATTACGGGCGTGTGCCACCACTCCTGGCCCCAAATGCTACTTTTAATGTCAATGTAATCATGTGAGATATGAAATATTGGTATATTGGTATAAATTCTATTGTCAGATAGCCCAAGTTTAAGTCTCATCTCCGCCACTTATTGGCTGTGTGACCTAAGGCAAGGAAATCTCTTTATGTCTTTATTTCCTCATCTGTTGTGTAGGATAATAATGATATCTCCTTAATGGATTTTTTTTCTTATTTTACTGGGAATTGAACCCAGGAGCACTTAGTCACTGAGCACATCTCTAGGCTTTTATTTATTTATTTAGTTTGAGACAGGGTCTTGCTAAATTGCTGAGGCTGGCCTCAAACTTGCAATCCTTCTGCTTCAGCATCTCAGCCACTGGAATTATAGGTGTGTGCCACCATGCCAGACTATTCTTGTTATTTCTATCTATTATTATTTGTTCAGTGACCTCCCTTGTGATGTCTCTGACCAACATAAGCAAGTGGACCCCTTTTACTCTTCCCGAGCTGTGGATGTTCTAGAAACAGTGCTGTTTTTTTTTTTTTCAACTATTCACTTGCTGTACAACTTTTCACTTGTCTGTGTCCCTTCTAGACTGTATATTCACAGGTGTGTGAGGTCAGGCCTACTCTTTATTAACTTCTACATTCTCTGCTTATTGCATAAACTAATTGGAACTGGAAACTACATGGTTAGATATGTTTTCTATCCAAATTCACATTTTTATACAATTAAACAATGGATTCTAAGTGAGACTGTATCACTGGTATGAGAACAGGAAACATATTTGTTAAGCCAGTCACATTTCTTACTGGCTGTTTGATAGGGAAGATGATTATATCTCTCTGAGCTTTAGTTTCCTCATCTATCAAATGACTAGAAGGATAAAATTTATAGGGTGGTACTGAAAACTAAATGAGATGATACAGGTCAAATGTCTGGCACAGACAAAGACTTCATGTTTGTTTGCTTTTGTTTTTTTTTTTTTTGCATCAGGGATTGAATCCAAGGGCACTTAACCACTGAGCTACATCCCCAGCCTTTTAAATTTAATTTATTTATTTTTTTTAATTTAGAGACAGGTTCTCACTACATTGCTTAAGGCCTCGATAAGTTGCTGAGGCTGGCTTGAACTTATGATCCTCCTGCCTCAGCCTCTCAAGCCACTGGGATTACAGGCATGCATCACCACACCTGGCCTACAAAGACTTCTTGATAATAATTTCTTTTCCACTCTTTTCTCCTTAATCCAAAGTGCTGCTCAACAAGAATTCGAAGACAACTGGACAGAAACCTCACCTTTCATAAAATGGTGGCATGGATGATAGCACTTCACACTGGTAAGTTTATTAAGACAATTGAAATTGGGCAGAAAAATTGGAATCAGAGAGTTCTTTCTATTCTTTTTTTTTTTTTTTTTTTTTTTTGGTACCAGGGATTGAACTCAGGGGCACTTGATCACGTAACCACATCCTCAGTCCTATTTTGTATTTTTTTTAGAGACAGGGTCTCCCTGAGTTGCTTAGGGCCTCACTAAATTGCTATGGCTGGCTTTGAACTCATGATCCTCCTGCCTCAGTCTCCCGAGCTGCTGGAATTACAGGCATGTGCCGCTGTGCCCTGCAGAGAGTTCCTCTCTGTTCTTGAAAACCTACGTGTTAAGAGATCAGCCTTTACAGGTTGATTATGCTGTGGTCAGATATGCTGTATTTTTTAATGAGTTCTGTTCAAAAGTATTCATGACTGTTTCTGGTAATTAGGACTTATTCCTTTAGGTTTAAAGTTTTTCATTTTAGGATCTTCCTATAAATTAAAATGTGCCATAGGAAAAGTCAATCCTGGTGTCCTAACACTTTCTCATTATTTTTTTTTAGTATCAAAATGTTTGTTACTGGGAGTGCTATGCCTGTAATCATAGAGGATCAGGAGGCTGAGGCAGGGGGATCACAGGTACAAAGCCTCAGCAACTTAGCAAGGCTGTAGGCAACTTAGTGAGACCCTGTTTCAAAAAAGGCAGGGGAGCAGAGAAGCTGGGGATATGGCTCAGTGTTTGAACACTCTTGGGTTCAATCCTTGGTACCAAAAAAAAAAAAAGTCTGTCACATATGACAGCTTTTATTTATCCTACAGAATTGCCTGGCTATACATGTTGATGTTTTTTATAGTAAACCTATGGGAATATTAGCTCATAAATTGAGAATCCCTTAAGAAAGCACTTATCAGCTAAGCATTTCATTATTGTTATTTTATTATCATATATATATATATATATATATATATATATTAGATATATGTGTGTACATACATTACATGTTGTTATTATAATTATTAAGGTGGTAGTGGTACAAGACAGGATGTGCCTAGGACCTTATCCAATCTCCATTAATTCATTTAGTAAATAATTCATGTGCCAGGCAGTAGACATGTACTGAACAAACCAGGCTTTTACTCTGCCCTTAAGTTTATCCCTGAGTAAAAGAGGCTTAGTTTATAGGCATTGGACTGGGTTCCTCTTTTCCTACCAGATCACACAGGCTTTTTGAGTCGTAGCAAATGAAATCTTTCAAAAGAAATTTCTGAGCCAGGTGCAGTGGCACACGCACACCTGTAATTCCAGCAGCTCAGGAGGCTGAGGTGGGAGGATCTCGAGTTCAAAGCCAGCCTCAGCAAAAGTGAGGTGCTAAGCAACTCAGTGAGACCCTGTCTCTAAATAAAATACAAATAGGGCTGGGGACATGGCTCAGTGGTCGAGGGCCCCTGAGTTCAATACCCCGTATGCCCCTGCCCCCCCCCAAAAAAAAGGAATGTTTGCCAAAATCCTGTTACAAAGATTGGGAGTCAAATTGGTAAGAAAATAGGTTTCATTCAAAGCCAGCTTTGAGGGATTGGTGACCCTGGGCAAGGTTTTAGAGCTGTTATTAAGTGCATCTACATCAACAGGTCAGGGTAAGGATTAAGTCATCATAATGCACCTATAACAGTGTTTGGCATCTGGTAGATGCTGTGTAAGTGAAATAAAGAAATGCAATTTGTTTTTTCCTTAAGAGGTTCATACTGGTGGCCATTGGTTTGTACCAAAGCACTCACATTTGTCATCTCTCTCTGGAGGTAATTATGGAGTCAGGTGAATGGGCCAGCTATTAGGCATATATAAAGAATTCTCTTGTTTGAGCACAAATATATTAAGGAGGGAGAGAGAATGAGGGCATATCTAACCCTCTCAGAGACTGAGGCTATTTTGTAGTGTCACAGGAGAAGACGTGCCTGAGAAGAAGGGTATGAGCAGTATCCAGAGAGAAGGGAGAACCCGACCCCCGACCAGTGGGGTTCTTGGCATACATAATGGAAAAGAATTTTAGCACGTGCCAGTCAGAGGCATAGACAGGTTTATTTAAGAAAATAGGTGCACATTCAAGGGATAATGGGGGCCATCTCAAGGAGGAGATGCATTTTGGGGGTTCCCAGCTCTGCTTTAAAGGAAACTTGGAGAGGGGCGGGTATGGAAAGGTATGTAGGAATGATATCAGTCCAGTGATCTCAGGATGGGTTCTTGTGGTCTGGTCAATCTCTGTATCCTTAGGCTAATGTGATCTTTGTTATCTGATCAATAGATAACTCTGGAAAGTACCCTAAGTTATAGGTTCCTCATTATATCATATATCTCTCTTTGCTTAATCTAATTATTGGAAGGGTTGATTATCAGTGTACAGGTAGATTTACAGATTTCTCAGGAAGGTGGAAGTAGCAGGCCTGGAAAAGTATGTGGAACTCTGAATTAAAATTCTATATTCTTGTCCTTCCTTTATATCTCCTTTCTATCTCTCATTTCCTCTATCCTACCTCAGTAGATTCTCAGAAATTGATTGAATCTTTAGGAGTATGTAGCTCAACACCTTTATTTTACAAATGAGGAAACCAAGATCAGAGAGGTTAAGTGATTTCTCCATAACCACAAAGCAGAAAGGAGCTTACCCACTATTAATGGTATTAACCATTAGCACCCTGGGGAAAGAGGCTAGGCTATACTGCTTGCTTATTGCTCCACAAAAATTGAGAATCAAATTGGCAGGAAAATAGCCAGTTTTGAAGGAAGGAATTTCATACTTCATAAGGAGTCCGTTTCACCTCTAGAATAACTTTGCCTCTCTGGGTTATGAAGAGTCAGTTCTTGTGGCATTCTAGGCCACCTCTGTGTCTCTGTGACTTATCATAGAGTCAGAGGCTATGGCCAGAAACCCAGATCATACTACATTTGTGCAAATGCCTCACCCTCTTTGTTTTTCTTCTCTGCCCTCTTTAGCAATCCATACCATTGCACATCTGTTCAACGTGGAGTGGTGTGTGAATGCCCGAGTCAATAACTCTGACCCTTATTCAATAGCACTCTCTGAAATTGGAGACAAAGAGGGTGAAAATTATCTCAATTTTGCTCGAGAAAAAATTAAGGTAAGCCTCTCTTTTCCTGATTTAGAAGTCCCCTAAAACAGGATTTCACTGAGTGAAGAACTCAGCTTGGCTGGAACAATAACATCTCAAAATATAAATAAAGAAATCAATAGAAAGGGCTGGGGGTGTGGCTCAGTGGTTAAACATCCCTGGGTTCAATTCCTTGTAACAAAAGCAAAAATAAAAATAAAAAAAGAACCGATAGAGGGCAAATCTGGCCTGCTTGGATTAATTTGCAGACCCCCACCCCAGATTACTATTCCTCCAGATTACTATTCCCTATCCCAGATGTTGGTGTTCTACAAAGTACTTTCATGAATTAGGGAGCACCCTGGCCTAAGTGTTACCATCAGGCCAGCCACTGGCAGACAGTTGACAGTGATCTTTTGTTCTTTTTTAACCTACAGCATCTGAGGGGTGGCCTGTGTCTGCTACTTTGCATTCCTTGGTACACTAAGAGTTAGTTCAGTGCTTTCTTTCTTTTTTAAAAAAAATATCTTTATTTTACATTTATGTGGTGCTGAGGATCAAACCCAGTGCCTCGTGCATGCCAGGCAAGTGCTCTACCACTGAGACACAACCCCAGCCCAAGTTCACTGTTTTCTTGGGCAGCCATGAGGGTATCCAGAGGCAAGGACTTCTCCTGTCCCAGGAGATGTCAAAGCTTATTAGAGAAGCTCCAAGCCAATTTCATATGCCCAATGGCTTGGGAAGATGGCTAAATCTCATAACTATGCATTAAATTTCAAACATGTTTTTTTTTTCTGTTCAGAAAAGATCACAAGAGAAGACATTTAATTTTGCTCAAATTCATATCCTCAAAGTGACATGAGAGAAAAATTGCCTGATCTTCTTAGGGACAGAATTAAACAGCATCAAACAAAACAAATTCTTTTCCTATGATATCTTGAATAATTATTCTTTTAATTGTTCATTGTTTGCCCAGTAATAATAAGGGCCACAAAATGAACACAAGGGTGAGCTGACACTGTCACACTCTGACCAGATCTCCTTGAGTCACCTGTACTGTACCTGTGCTTCCTCGGAGTGTGTTCAATGACCTGTACATGGGTTTCCTTCTGCAAAAACTGCCCTGGGACTACTAGCATCCCTTTGCCCAAAAGTTCAGACATCTGAAAGGGCCTGGTTGGTTATCTCTCCCTGGGTAGCCCTTGGCCAACAACTGATGAGAGAAGACCACAGTAGTCCAGCTTCTTCAGGATAAACTCCGAGGTGTAACTTCCTCCAGAGTTCCCCTGCGGGATCAAGCTGAAGCTTTCCCCCGTGAAACTTGTTCTGAGACCATCCCCTTGCTTAGCTTTTTGTTTTATCTTGTTCTATTCTTTGTTCCCTTTACAGTTTCCCTTGAGGTCCATTCTTCATAATGAATTCTTTTATTTATTTATTTTTTGATACCAAGAATTGAACCCAGGGACACTTAACCACTGAGCCACATCCCCAGCCCTTTTTATACTTTATTTAGAGACAGGGTCTGGCTAAATTGCTTAGGGCCTCGCTAAATTGCTGAGACTTGCTTTGAACTCAAGACTCTCCTGCCTCAGCCTCCCAGAGCCGCAGGGATTACAGGGGTGCACCACTGCACCTGGCTATAATGAATTCTTGCTCATGGATCCTCATTTCAGGGTCTACTTCTGGGGAATCCAGCCTAAGATGTATTTATAAGTCTATAAGCACTGTGGCCTTTTCCAAATAAAAGGGAGAAAGACCTTCAGGAAGTTCTAGGTCATCTTTTAGTCAATGATTTATTTTATATTCCCTTAAAACTGTCTAAGCTGGGTACCGTGGTGCGTCTGTAATCCCAGTGGCTCAGAAGGCTGAGACAGGAGGATTGTGAGTTCAAAACCAGTCTCAGCAATTGAGCAAGGCCCTAAGCAACTTAGTGAGACCCTGTCTCTAAATAAAATACAAAATCGGGCTGGGAATGTGGCTCAATGATTAAGCGTCCCTGGGTTTAATCCCTGGTATCAATTCATATTTTCTATGATTCCCCAACCATGTAAGTTTCCTTTAAAATTTAGAGATATCTACTCTGTGTCTATATGTTTCTGTGAGGGGTGATTAATATTATCCAAAAGGGGGGGAGATGAAAACACCTATTGTCCTGTATACTGGACACTTTGTGAATGGGCAGTCTTGCATCTGAGAGCCTACAATAATGTGTGTGTGTATGTGTGTGTGTGTGTGTGTGTGTGTGTGCATATTTTACAGAACCCTGAAGGAGGCCTGTATGTGGCTGTGACTCGCTTGGCAGGCATCACTGGAATTGTCATAACACTGTGTCTTATCTTAATTATCACCTCCTCTACCAAAACCATCCGGAGATCTTACTTTGAAGTGTTTTGGTACACACACCATCTCTTTGTGATCTTCTTCATTGGTCTTGCCATCCACGGAGCTGAGTAAGTTTTAATTCCAAAGCCAAGGACTTTATGTCATTCAATTTCCAGGTGTGGTGCCCTACTAGACATGGTGACTTCCTTACTTATGTGTGGTCAGCCTGTCTGCAGAGGTCAGTTCAATAGAAATCAGCACACTTGTAGTTTCTTACACACAACTAGTTGCTATTTACAGTGCAGGTATTTATAGCAAGCTTGAAAAATACAACCAAGTCTGAGTATTTTTGCTAGTATATAAAACATATTGAACCAGATGAGGTGGTGCTTGCCTATAATCCTAGAGACTCCAGAAGCTGAGGTAGGAGGATTGCAAGTTCAAGGTCAGCCTCAGCAATTTAGGAAGGCTCTAAGCACCTTAGCTAGACCCTGTCTCAAAATAAAAAATAAAAAGGGCTGGGGTGTGACTCAGTGGTTAAGCACCCCTAGGTTCAATCCTCAGTACCAAAACCAAAATCAAAACAAAAACACAACAAAAATACACAAATAAACAAACAAAAAACATATTGAGAGCACTGGTATGGTCTATAGTATTGTCTCCTGTGGCTCAATCACTAGTGAATTAGAAAAACTCCCAAGGCAGAGTGGTTAACAATGTGCTAGTTGAACAGGTTTGTTGTAGTTCATTGGGTTTTGATTTAAGCCAACCATTATTTCTTGGTTGCCTACTGCATATGAGGACCTATCTCAGGTACTGTGGGGAGTATTAGTCAGAAAAATCTGTGGTTCTTACCTTCTAACATTCTAATATAATAAAGGTAGCAGTGAACTTCTATTGAACATTTGTTCTCTATCAGGCTCTATGCTAAGAATTTGGCATGAAATGTTTCTTTTAATCCCCCCCAAATGAATAATTGTTCTCACTATCCCCATTTCTGGGGAATGGTAATTGTAGACAAGGAATCTGAGGATCAAAAAGATAAATTTTTGCTAGCTACTCTTCTGTTAGGATATATATATATATATATATATATATATATATATATATATATATATAATTAAAAACACTTAACACCAAAAAAATATTGAAGAGGATATAGAGAAAAGGGAACTCTT